CCATTCCACCATCCTAGGCAGTGCTCATGTGTGCAGACCCTGTACCAACAGAACAAAACTATCGTACTCTCTACTGAGTGGAATTAGTCACTCAGGAGGAAGCCTCCATGGTTCACAACCCCAACAGATAGGAATTGACGAGTGGCAAGAACTCCCACATTCTATTAGAAAAGTGAGAGGAGAAAACACTTTGGGGAGTTTGGAGGAATGCAGCACCTTAAGACAGTGCAATGAGTGACCACGAAACCACATTTTTAAAATAAGCCAGCCCAGGTATATTCAACTAGTACCAGAGGAATGGGCAACAATCCTGAAACTATTTTACTCATGATAGTCCACAAGTAGGTACAATCTGTATCAGGCCTTGTTTAGGAAGCAATACACAACAAGGAAACCTCCAGCTGTCTTGTAGAACACCCCATCTCATCAGTGAGCATTTCAGAACCAAATGGCTGCATGGTACAGGTTTATACCAAAGTATATCCTGGTAGACACCACATTCCACTCAGTTAGATCCTGTCATGAGCACACATGAGAAATAGGTCCTTGTAAATAGAAAAGAACTTACCCAGTCAGAGCCAGAAGAAGAAGAGATGGCCAGATGAAGAAGATAATGTGTGACAAAAGTATGCAGCACAGTCCACATGCCAGGCTGCATAATCTCCTCCAATGGATAATGGAAGTAAGCAGTCAGAGTGAGAGAGAGAGAGTAAGGTGTCAGATTGAGAGGTGTGAGAGGAGACCTGAAAGACTTGAGCTGAATCTACATCTAATGAAGCACAGGCTAGAAGGACGAGCTGTTGAAACTATTCCGTGAGGGTAATGAGAGAAATATCTTGAATAGATGAGAAATTTCAAAGACTAGAGAGAAAGGAATGTGAACCATGAAAAGGAGCAGTGTAGGCCAAATAACAAGAAGCCACACAGTTGGGACTGAGAAAATAATTTGGGTCAGAATGAGAATAAAAGTGAGAAATGGAAGGGAAGTAGCAATGAACCCATAGTCTCATTCACAAGCCACAGATGTTTGAGGGAGAAAAGCAAGAGCAGGATAATTAACAGGAGAACAATGGAAAACAATTCGGAAAACAGTAATGACATACATAAAATCTCTCATGGCCACAGACCAAAGTAAGAAATAGGACTTAAGCAAAAGATGGTACAAGGAACAAGAAACTAAAGGTATAAAGAGAAGAAGGGTAAGAGCATGAAGAACAGCATTCAAGTCCCAATCAGGAAGGACTACAGGACAAGGAAGATGAAGGTGGCAAAAAGAATGAAAGAGCATAGAAAGGACAGAAGAGGAAAATACATGACAATTATGGGAAAATCCAAATGTATTAAGTAAAGCTGCCCTATAACCCACAATGGTCAAAAGCAATAAGGTTTGGTTGAATTGCCAGATAAAAATTTGGAAAATGGAGAATTGAAGGCCAGGAAGGGGAGATAGCACGAGACAAAGAACAACTATGGAATGTGTGTCATTTACATGGATAGACAAGGAGGAAGGAAGAATGAACGGAACAAGAAAGAAGACTACATGTGAAAAGAATCTGGAATGTCTCAAAAGGGACCAGACAAAACCCACAAGTGAAGTCTGAATGATGACACTGCCATATGGGAAAGGGAGGAGTGATGCTGAAGGAGCATGACAGAGGTAGAGGAAGAATATCGGAAAAAGTTCAACAGAGGAAACCACAGCTGAGCCAGCCCATACAGAACTGTCATAAGGACTCAATAGTGTGTCCTGAATTAGTGAAAGTACATGAGGGAGAAGACAAATAGGAGGGTAGGCATAAAGAAAAAGGTTGGACCAGTCTTGATTGAAGGCATCCACAGCTAAAGCTAAGGGACAAGAAATAGGGGAAGTATAGTGTTGAGATAAGTGGCAAACACATCTTGAAGAGGAGTGCCCAGATGAGAGCATAGCCACTTGAACACCATGGGTAATTTTGTGGCAGGCCTCAAGAGACGATCCACAACAAGATTCAGGGCACCCAGAATATAAGAAGCTATTAGAAATGCTTGTCAAGGAGGCATCTAGAAACAGATGGAGACCCAGACAAGAGGAAGGAAGAAGAACAACCTCTATAGTATTGGCTGTATCAAGTCACCATGTAAAATCTTTGGATAAAGGAGGAGGAGAAAGAATGTTGGAGGACAAGGAATCCTAATTGAGGATCAAGTGATTTGTGCTGAGTCCATTGTAGATGACACAAATGAGCTCAACCCAAGGAGATATAGGAAAAAGAAATAGAGCCTCCCACACAGTGAGAGTAGATAGGGCATGAGAAACTAATCACTCCATGTCCTTCAAATGAAGAGAAAGCTGGACCCTGTGGAGATGCAAACTAAAAAACACCCATATGAATGAGAATTAAATGGGTGTGAGATGTGACTTTTCCAGGTTGACCAATCAACCTAGATGCACCACCACCCAAAGGAGGAAAAGAGGATGGCTGTAAGAGGTTTGTTGGGTCAGAGCCAGATGAGAAAATAAGCATCCAAGATATCCACCTCGGTCATCCCAATACTTGGGGCAAAAGAACACCATAGAGTAAGAAAAGTTTCCATGATAAATAAAGGGAAGTCGAGAAACCAACTGAAATGTGAAATATCTAAGACTGGATGCCTATCTACAGATTCCTTGGGAAAAGCTGAAAATAAAATCTTGGATGAGGATGAAAAATACATCCAATACCAACTTTAGCATAACTGCCATGGACTGACATTGGCAAGAAACAAGACCCCTTGTAGGAGGGAAAATAATAGGAACATGAGACAATGAAGGAAGAGAGGGAAAAAATGAAGGGTATGGATTTCTGGCAGAATTCCCAGTAACCAACAACTGACCACAAACTATGGGCAAAGGTCTGTAAACCAAACTAAACAGGCCTGGTGGACCCCAAGCCTGTAGGATAGCCATCACCATGACAGATGAAAGGAGCCAGACAAAGGCATATGAGAGAAAAGGGAGGCATAACAACTTGAGTAACAAGGGCATCATGCTCCAACAAACTCTAGCAACAGACCAACCAAATATGAAGTGATAAGCCCAAGGAAGATAAACTTGCCACTGTAGAGAAGATAAGTGAACAAGAAACCTCTGATATCTGCCTCATTGGAATGGTGGATTACCACTGAAAAAAGATAGAGGAAAAATAATGGCAAAGAGTAGAGTGCAAGATAAAGGTGGGAAAACTTAAGCCATTAATAAGATGAACAAAAGCCAGTATCTGACCCCCAAGTCAAAAGAAAAAGACTCCAAAGTTTAGGAGTTGAAAAAAGGAAATATAGCATGAACATATGCCTAGTCATATGATGTAACAAACAAAGGAGGATGAGGCATAAGTAATAAAATATGGACTTGCAAATGAAGAGAGGAAGTAAAAAAACAAAACTCAAAAGCAGAGAACACATTACAAAGGAAAGAAAAGAAACATTCCTGAGAAACCCAAAACAGCAATTTCGCTTATCTCCATTAATAATTATTATTAAAACTTTGTGCTTTCTCTCACCTAACCATCCCTTTGCTATATCACTTGCTCTGCCCTGGATATCTTATTCTTTCCTCCCAACAAACTATCCTATCCACGTACTGTACTGAAGAATATCCTATAACAATAACCAGAGGTTTTATATTTAAATTTCATTTGAATAGAAATGGGCAAGCTCTGTGGCACGATGGATATGATTATAACTATGACGAGTATGACAACTTCAAAGTTTCACTTTCCTTTACAATTACTAAATTAGGACAAATTACACAATTTACAAGTTACAGATTTGTACATAGGACCTTAGGCTTAATGTTAGCCCTTATTAACTCCGAATTTCACTTTCATAGTAATATTACTAGTAGTACTTGATACTAAAATCAGTAATACTACTACTACAACAAAACTTGCATAATATTAGTACTAATAAATTACAATTAAAACCTAAAAAAGTACTACGTTACGCTGTCACTAGTGTCAGCGTTAATAAAATTAACTAACGTTACATGGCGTAAAACTAAATGTTACAGCACATAATATGCCTCGCACATATAAACATGACTTCGTAATAAATCAGTGCCCTTCACCAAATCCTTACTTGATTTTCAGCATCTAATATTTCGTATATTCTTGCAGTTTGAACATCTTTCAACTTGTTCAAGTTCAAACAACCGGTCCCAACTCTCAAACTCCGTAGTTCCCTAAACTATGATAAAGCGTAACTTACGTTACCACAAAATGAGCCCTGCCCTCTACACAATGACGTCATGAGGCTCTGTTTCGGAATACAAGTTACAAAATTGCAGAGTACACATTAAACTATAAAACTAACATCTTTATAAATAGCAAAAGGTCTCTGCTATTTTAAATACGAACCAGTGGCATAGCAATAGTTGGGGCAGTTGCAATAGAAGTTCCTCAAAATTGGTATTTGAAATTTTGGGGAAATATACTGAAACTGGGAAAAAGTTATAACAGGGGTAGGAGAAGGCAACAAACGGTTTGGCCTATAACTCTTGTTACGCTGCTACTGCAGACCTACTTACAGTAATTTGTCAGTAAAGCTAAAACAATACCTAAACAAAAGCATGAGAAATAAATTAAAACAAAGAATTTGTAGAAAAACCTTTTTAATGTGATTAACACATAAACCTCAAGGCTAACCAAACTGAAATTATGATGATATCCTCATAGCATTTTTGCAAGCCTTATGCATATATAAATAATTGTTATAACGTTGTTCTTTCGCTGGGCTTGTACTTTTAGACTATTTAGTGAAGATAAGGCCAAGTCCATTCCACTTCACAAAAACAAATTAATATATTTCTTCTTTAACGTTTCTACAAGCTTCCTTCACTTACACTGCTGTAATTTATAGGTCTAAGTAACTTCACAAATGACGTCCAAACGGTAATCCTTCGCTAATTGTACTACAACTAACATAAAAGTAATAAAAGTACTTATACAATTTCCCAGCTAATCAATCGATTAATTGAAAAAAAAACAAAAAAAAAAACATGATAACTGATACTGATCTAAACACAAAACTAAATATTTCACTGAAATAAACTGACTCACTACTCGCCAATTCGTGTATTTATAACGGAGCCTTGTTTCTATACAGTTCGCAAATTCTCTCGATAGCTATATGCGGAACGTTCTAGGTATTCTAGGACTAATTTAACGTCATGCAACGCCCCCTAGAGGGTCAGCGGTAAGCTAAAACTTGGGTTTCGATACCCATGGTGGGTAGGCTTGCCAACTTTCTGAAGTAATTCCGAGAGATAGATGCCACGCCCACCTGTCACATCCTCTCCTTCACAAATTGCAAATAATTCTCTCTGACGTTTTATACTATTGTTACGTCTCCGTTCGTTAGTTAATTTCCCGTAAAAATTATTTGCGATCAAACTTTAGCGACACAAGTCCTTTCTTAAATAAAACTGGCTTATTCTTTCTGAATACAACTTTGCAATACACTTAATTTCCACAGTCACGCTATAATTCACAACGAACGTCTCACGTGCTCAACAATACGTCTCTCTCTGACCGCAGTTCAATCACCCATTGTTGCCGTCACTTCTTGACCGTCTTATATGTACAAGAATACCGAAATCTAGAAACCTCCCGAGGCTTCAGAAACATTCTAGAAGCGCGTGAAGGGTTACTAGCGTCACGTGACCTCCGCTGTCGTAACACTGCCCCTTCCTTAGTATTGTTCGTCCCGAACAATAGCCACTTACATTAAACAATTAACAATAACTTAATTAAATGTACAGAATTTACAAACACAAAATTACAATTCAACAAAGTCTCTTAATTTTACGGGACTTATCGTACTGGTCTCCGTCTCGTTGGCTTCTTCTTCAAGTGGGTTTCATCTGCTTCATCAGTTAATGTCCTATCATTGGTAACAGTCAGATCAGTGGTACTAACTTCACCAAAAGCTTCACCGTTTCCCTTCTCAAAACTGAGTAGTGTTTCTTCTTCGATGGTGGCTTCTTCAGGTGGCACGTCTTCAGCAGCGTCATTTGTTCTGTTGTCCACTTCAACCCAACTGAAATGTCCTGGACCGTGATAACGCCAAAGCCTGTTGGCATGCACCACTTTTGGCTTAACTCGCCGACCACATTTTATCCGGAAAGTCACGTCTGAGAGACAATCCA